ATCCAGTAATTTTTGTATTCTGAAGTAGTTTTGTTTTTAGCCACAGATTGTAATAAAAGCAAAAATAAATCTCACAGAACTAATAATGGAACTGCAGTAGAGGGTACCAAACTCATACTGAAAACATTCTAGACTGGGGAGCACAACTTTAAATTAGTGACAATACACTCCATTAGCAAGTTTGAAAATGACGTGTCCGCATTGCAAGAAATAGTAATTAGTCTTGTGCGTTCAAGATTTCCTTTTAATTACTAGCTTGCAATATCACAAAGTCAAAACTGCACACACATTTTATACATATACTATATGCAGTAACTCTTCATTAAAAGAAAAAAAAAAAAACTATGAGAGATTACATGGAGACTACTAGAACACTTAATAAAAAAAACATAAAAACTGAAACCAAAGGCAGAAAAGAAAACACTACCAGGAAGGTTCTAACAACAATTTCAATTAATAATCAATAGAGAAATGAAAAAAAAAAAAAAAAAAAAACCCGTATCTTGTCCCAGTGAATCTTTTGTTAGGCAATCAGCACACCTCTGTAACAAGGCAAAGCACAGTAATACCGCAGCACAGAACAGAAGGAAAGCTCTCCTGTTACCCTGATCCAACAGCAGCTCACCTACCAACCTGCCTGCAGAAGAAGAGTGACTCACCAATAGTGCTGTCAGGAAAGGGGAAACACCCCATTCCTCCTTCTTGGGTTTTTAACACCCAGAGCCACCTGTCTGCAGTTGCAGGAAGATTTCAGGGGCATGATAACAAGCACTTCCTAATGAGATATTTCTTCACTAATTAAGGCATTCAAATTGAAGATAAATACCTTATCTACAAAATTACAGCTGCAGCCTCTCTTGCTATGCTTATACCATTAAAAGGGACAGGATATGACAAATAACTTAAGCCCCAAATACAGCTACCTGAAAAACAAAGCCAGCATCTTAAAATACTGTGAAACTCACTGCTTTAGCATCTCGTATATACCACTGCTTTTTTTCCTTTATTTTCCATTCCTATCTCTGATTGCTTTTTACCTTCACCATAAGAAAAATAAAAAATGAAAAGGTATGACAGGAAATGATGCAAATCACAGGTTCCCCTGCAGCAGCTGGAAAAACAGCAGAACTTTCCTTCTCCCCACGACAGGAGTGTGCGGGGCAGCGGGCGGATGAGTGATGATGGCGGCCCGGCTGGACAACGGTAACCCTGGCAACTGTAACCTGCAATTCCTGCCCAGCCATTGTGGGATTTATTGTGGCAGGGGCCAGAGAGGCCAAGAGTAAAATGAAGCAGAGACTATGGTGTCTGACACATCTAGTACCACACACTTTAATCATAGCTGGCAGAAATTAATTCAGGAGGAATTTTTGTAAGGGCCCCCCATGCAGCGTGGTTTGTTGTTGTTGTTCTTGCTGCTGCTGCTGTTCTGGCCTAGGATTATTTTTAAAAGTTTTTATTTTTTCCCTTTTTTAATGTTTATGTTTTTTCTTTAATTATTAACAGTCTGATTTTTGTTTTGCCTTCAAGTCACCAACTGACATCTCAGAACCAAGCGTTTACTTTTCCGTCAGAGGAGAAATTTCTCATTCACAACATGTTTCTTTTCAAGTACATCATATTAGACATCTTTCCTTTCTAACATGCAAAATCAGACCATGTCAATAAGAAAGACGGCTTCTTTCAACGCCAGTGTTGCCCAATTCATACAAAAAATACTTGTCATTAAAGGAACTTTAACCTCCTTCTAAGTGCAAGAAATGAAAACTAAAAGGGACAGGCTTTGTGTCGAGAATCCAATACCCTTTACATGCCACTGATTTAGAAAGGTATCTTTTAAAACCAAATTCTCCAAAAGCTGTGGGTCTGGTCCTTGGTATCCTGCAGCAAACGGCAATCAATGAGCTGTGCTCTAACCAGCCAAAGAAAGCAGTCAAAATCCATTTGCCTCAGCTAAGCCCTCTCCAGCTCCCCGCATTAAAGCACCCTTATGGATGCTGGGTGAGTCACTGCGAGCAGGCACACGGGTCACTGGAAACAACACATCCTGTGCTTGCAGGAAAAGTACTTGTTGCAGCAGGACTTGTATTACCCCGTGGGATTTACAACAGCACCTATATTTTAACATTATTGCGTCAAAACAGAGGTTCATGTACGTTTTTCTTTGAAAGAGATCTTGCAAGGTAAGATTAATATACCCTTCAGCACTAGTCAGACTATTTTTAGCATACTACTTCCTATTGAAATGTATGTGTCAAAACACCTCTGCAGATAACTCTTAATGGGAGAATCAGTTTCTGCTTTGACTAAATTATCCATTTTAACCTGTTCCAAGAGATTTCTCAGAAGGCTGATAAATCTGAAAGAAAATAACCTGAAAAATAATTCATCTAGTTACCTTTGAAAATAGCGTCCCCAGACATGGGAAATAATGCACTGTCTCTTTTAAACTCTCAACCTATCGCTTTCCTTTACTTACACTTCCCATCTGTCAACAAGTGCTTGTAATTTTATTACACTGTCCTGTAGTTTATGCAGAGTTGGTATTATTTTACAGAGTTCTGTTAATGGACTGGATAAATGGTAATGCTATTTAAACTAGTCTCTTGCTTCAGCAAACACAGCTGCAACTGTACTACTATTTCTAGGCAAACATCTTGACCTGAACATGCAGTGCTCTCTCAGCCCGTCCAAAGAGAAATTGGAGCAGACAGCAAAGGGAAAGCATAGCCGGCCGCTGGCGGCAACCAACTGTGTCTAATCATAATTCATATACAGTGTACCCTCTTTCTTTTATATTGCATTTAGGCTACACAACAAGCATATGTGCTTCTTCACCTGGCATCTCATTTACAGCCAAGGGTCAAATGGTAATTATTATTCACAGAAGCTCAATAGTATGCTGAAAACATGCAATGCACACAATGTTTGATTAGCTGTTAAATGCCAAAAATAAATACTAAGCCCAAAGTCTATTATACATTTTATTGATCACGTTTAAAGAACTTTTAGTTCTCCTTCAACATATATTCATTTGGATACAAATATGCATAAGCACTTAAACCAACAGATGCAAATAAATAAATAAATAAATAAATAAATAAATAAATAAATAAAATGACTTTATAGTATTCAGAGTGGTCAAACCATACATAATCTGAAAGTTGACCAAGTAGACATTTAACTACTGTCAATGTTTTTGTTAGACATTTTTAAATTACAGATTTAGTTTAAGCAACCACAGATTTTTAGTATCTTTCTAATTTTCTTTTAAACATGAATACATTATAACCAGACATTCACTTTCATGGTCTGATCAACAATAACCCTTAGGCAGAAGAAATTTAATACTGTGAAGACAGTGATCTCTTACTTTCTACCATATACACTGTGAGCAGTTGTGTGCTTTGTCAAAAGATATTACAGATTTAAGACTAGCTTTTATCAAATATACAATTCTGAGTTAAATATATTTAAGTATGATTTTGCCTGAAGCGTGCATCCTTCCTTTTTTTTTTTTTTTTTCTCCTGCAAATTATGGCTCATTTCTATTTTATACAAATTTAGATAACAACCTTTACACTATAGGTAGAATAATAAAATGATCATAAATCCCTTTCATTTTCCTTCCTGATGGAAGTAATATCTCCATGATTGCTGATGGAAATCACAGAAGAAACTGAACTGTTAATATATATAAAACCACACATGAATATATTATAATATAATAGTAGAGAAAAAATGTTTTTGTTTGTCAGAACAAAAGCCTTCAGGAGCTTTCTGGTCTAGTAATTTAACAACTCATTGCATCTACAGGGAAGTTCAAGAAACAAAAAATGCATCCACAGCAAACAAAAGAAACAAAAATACACAGAAATAAATGTTTGTATCAATAATAGCATCGTTTTCAGTTTACCATTTCAAATTACCAGAATAGGGGGGAAAAGAACTATTATTTTGCAATATGAGAACAGAAATCAACTCCTAAAAAATAAAAGCTTAATTATATCATTTGTTCTCAGGAACATTTTCATATACTAAAGTGAAAACAAATCAGAAGAACTCTGCCTTCTTCCACCTACACATATTTTTTCCAAGCACATAAAGGATGAAACTGAAAAACAATGATTTCAACAGCAGAAGTCTCACCTGAACCCTAAATAAAAGTGTTGAATACATATATTTAACTAAAATAGGGCTAAAATTCTACCATCTTTTCAAAGCCTATTCAAGCATGTCATGTAACGTATTTTGTTACAAAAAGTGATTGTATGGATAAATGCAGAAATTACTGTCTGAACTTAATCCCATGTTGATACTGCAGCATAAATGAGTAGGTTCTTCAAATAGAGCCAGTGGGTCAAAATACTTGAAAAAATCTGCCACAAGTAAAAGATTATCAAACCAAAGAAAATAATCAAACCAAAAAAACATCCAATTTTCTATCATTTGTATTTATTGTAAAACATTTCATAGCTTTTTCTATCTTCAGTTTATGTTGTGACCTTTGTTTTCTTTCTGAGGGACACGGGAGAGATCTCCACAGGCTACCATTTGTCAATGCTGATTTTTCTGGTAAAGTGTGTAGAGCTATAAAACCAGAACATAACAAAGACAAAGTGCTGTACACTGCTATATTGCTGGGCCATGATCTCCACAGTCATACAGCTATTTTAAGAGAGGAAGCAAGCAAAGAAACAAAAAATACACCTACCCACCCCAGATAAACAGGAGAAAAAAAAACCCGGAGCATTCCTTCAACAGGAGTTCTTAACAGAAACAGGAAAGGATGAAACAGTATTTAGTCTCATACAAGTATCAGTTTCTAACCTAGGTTCTAAAAAAAATTCCTGCTAAGTAGTCAAAGTACTTAGAAGATCAGTGTTAATAAATGTATTTTGGCCCGGTTTGAGGCAAAAGACAAAAACCCAATGCAAGACAAAATAATAAAACAACACCATGTTTTCCAGAATAACAGTTACCGGATAGTGCCTACTTACAGCCTGTATAACTTCGGCGTCCCCAGAAAGAGCAGCTCAGAAAGCAACTGGAGGTTATTTCTGTTTAAGCGCCTTTTGAAAGAAAAAGAAAAGGTTGTGTTAAATTACAACTGAAGTGCTTCAACAGTACAGTGCATACACTTTGAGCAGATCACTGCGCTGTAACAAGCTGATCTTAAAGGCTATGTAATGCTGGTCCATTAGCGGAGACATGGTCGAGCAGTAAATTTACCATGGACTAATTACATTTTCTGGTTTCCCCAACAGACTGTATTACCTATTTCATTTTATGAAAGATTATTTTGAATTTCTGTAGTGTGAATCAACCACTAAGTCAGGATTCTATCCTGCATAACCAACCAGAAAACTAAAAATACAGAGCCAGCAGAGTAACTTCAATCTTTCTCCAACTCTTTGTTCCTCTTGGTATAATGAAGTGAACACACACACATTTTCTGACCATGAAATACTGTTCAAAGGAACATGTATCAAGTGCATGCACTTAGTTAAGTAATGAGAGAATACATCTACAGACTCTTATAAACTATTTCAACAACAACAAAAGCAACAAAGCTGTTACGGAAACTCTGATCAAATGAAAGCCAGAAAATCATGAAGTCCCAACTTAAATTCAGATCGTATTTTTAGTTTTGTCCACAGCTATAAAATACACCATAGTTAAATTAAAAAAAAAAAAAGAAAAAGAAAAAAAAATCAGTTGTATGTCAGATACATAAAATACTACAAAAGAAAAACTGCAGCTGGGATTTGAAAATACTCATTTGCCTGTGAGATTTCTGATGGAATATGCTGACCAGTGTCAAACTTGTTTAGCTTGAGGTAACAAGTTCTCTGAAGTATAACCATAAGCAACAGAACAATCCCCTCACAAAGACAAATGTGTTCCATTTTCATGATTATTTATTTATTTATTTAACGTATAGTGCAGATTATTCTTTTTAAGTGACAGCCCTGGAGTAGCACACAGTCATATCATTCAACAATTCAAACTCCAAACAGGTTTTTATTTTTAAGGAATGCAACACACATGCCACCTGCCATTCAAAGCAGCATACTGAAAAACATGCTTCTTCCTAAGAACCTCATCACAAGTCCTAGTTTGCAATGCACAGTGCTTCTCAACACACTACTTCTAAAGCATTCCTGGCCACCAGACTGCACAGTATGGACTGTTATTTATTTTATCCCTACATTAGTTGCATTACTTAAATCAATACGTATTTACCAAGAAATTCCACAAGGTGTAAAAGAAAAAAAAATTCAAAAATGCAACAGGTCTTACAAAGATACACTCAGCATCACTTTAAAAGTATACTTCATGGGTCAAATACTTGTGTTAGTATGTAATTTTCCATATTTAGATCACCAGTTTCTATTAGCACCTGCAGTTCACACGGTCCACACAACTGCATACACATACTATTAACAAAGGATGCATGTGCTGCTGTACAGACATTAAAATTAAATGCTGGTAATAAGTCAAATGCATGAATTAATCAAGCACTCATAGAAGTAGATTCATGACTCAATAGCTTCTACCAACTGAGCTTGACACTTAGAATTAGTGTTTCAACCTACACTTTCACTTTGCCTTTCAAAAATTAAAACATTCATTCTTAGAGTGCTAAGTGAATTGAGGAGACATGAGTTAAATGAGCTACTGGCCATTCATGAATTCAGTATTTTGTAGTTTCTTCCTTTAATTATTCCATCTGTGTCACTGTACCTCCTCTTAAAGCAAAGCTTTCGCTACCAAGAATGTGTCCATCTCTAATTGCCTGAGCCAGATTATAAAGTATTACTAAGTTTTTGTAGCCAACAATGGAAGACATTTCCCTTACAATACTAAGTACTATTTCAAGAAAGAACCTTCAGCTACACTTATTTTTATATATGTGTTTATATATATATACGTACGTTAAGCATTATATATCGCAAGATGTTTTCAGTAAAGTGAATTTGTCTTAAATTTCTTGCAAATAAACCCTATGAACTAGTCATTACTGAAATGATTTTTTTTCAAGACTGCAATAGATAGTTCTGTTAAAAAAAATAACAATAACAAGTGAATGAAAAGGACATGGCGTGAATCTGGAATGCATCCACCATTATCCTGAGCACAACAGCTTTCAGGCATACAGCCAGCTCTGAAGAGTTTGCAATCTTTGATACAGAGCCACACACACAGTCCAGAAAACACATTCCTACTTTAAACAGTTCATGGCTCTCTGATACAGGCATCGCCATCTTTTCACATGGCCTCACCTTTGCCTCAAACTGTATTTTGTTTGAAAGAGCAACACCTGTCCTCAACATGCAGACATAGCATGAGACAGACATGTCCCCGGAAATTAAAACCTGAGGTAACCACAGATACGGGAAGGCAAATAAAAAAACTACAGCTACTGCAGAGTAAAAACACGCAGAAAAAGAACACTTTTTCTTTCTGTATGTCAGCACAGACCTCTCTGCAGCTTGTGTGTGAACAGCATTTCCCCTGGGACAATTTGAGAAGAGAAATTTCAGTTGAATCAACTGAACTGCTCTCCCAGAACTGACATTAAGTTCAAGGTATGGCATCGAAGAAGCAGTGATGAAATGTTCCATACGTCCCCCTTTCAATTTCCTAGCTGAGCTAGAAAAAATCTGCTTTTCTCAAGGAAAGGAAGAGAGCTCAGAAGAGATGAAGTGTTAGTGGCGCAAGAAACAGAAAATATACTGGAGAATCTCTTCTAATATTGCAGTACCTTCAGCTATAAAGTTGCTGGTAGTGGCCAGAAATAAGTGGGTGAGTGTACGACATCACATAATTCTTTCAATGCAGCAAAACTGAGCCCCAGTTTAAATAAACACAACTTTTGCTTGCATTACTGAATCCAGCATTTAGATTGGGCAAACTGACTCAAGTAAATTCTTCAGCTCTTCATGATAACTTCAAGCAAAGTCCACATAATACCTAAATTACAAAAAATGCTTTAAATACTTCAGTTTAAAGTTTCCAGAGCTCAGTCTTCTAAATATAGAATGTGCTAGAAAAACAACTTTGAAGTGAAATGATGAAAGAAATACATGAATATACTCAAAGATATTACAGTTTTCAGAAGCATCAGGTTAAGTATACAAAAGGTGACTCCGGCAGGTGGGTAGGCAGTCTTCACAGGAAGTTTGATACCAATAGATAAAACGTAGGTCCAAAAAACAACAGGTTACACAGAGAAACAAACGGTGAAGTCAAGAAAAAAGATAAAAAATAATGAATGTACACCTGTGATTATTATTATTGCTCCTAAGGAAAATCATTTTTCAGAGCTCTAGAGAACAGGATATCCTTGCAGAAATTGAAACATATCTGTATTTTACTCATCCTGTGTGAAGAGTCAGAAGATATGAATTGAATGGCAGAGACTGAGGCAGAAAAAGTTGTGGAGAGAGCATGTCAATTTCCCAGTCATAGACACCTCAACCCAATGATGCCTCGCCATGCCACCTGTCCACTCAATGCCACTCTCAAGTTATCTTGCCATAGTAACTGTGATCCACTATCAGTCATGAAGAGAGAGGGAGGAAGAAAGATCAAAACCAAAGTTCTTAATTATACTATTTGCACTGTAATCGTCTGCAACTGCTATAATTCACAAGTAGGTCTGTATTTGTTTTCCAGACAAGTTAGCACCTTCCCTGTAACTTGCTCCTAATTCCCCTGTAATCAACTACACACCAAAGAAGCCCTATGTAGTCTATTCTTACACTGTTCCATCCTTGTTCTGAGGGAACCTTCACAGTTTGGGAAGACAAGAGGTCTCCACTTCCTGCTCAAAGCAGGATTGGTTATGAGACCTGGGCAGTCGGTCAGGGCTACATCTAGTAGAGGCTTCAAGGACAAACAGCACAGCCTCCCTGAGAAACTGGTTTGTTCCAGCACTTGAGTTCTCATATCCACTCCTATTTCCTCCTTTCAATTTACACTTCTTATCTCAACACAGTGACGAGCATGATTCCAGCTTCTTGATAACTTTTTCACAGGTACTGGGAGGCTGCTATTTTGCCCCCTACAAGTTGTTTCCTTCAGGTTAAATAAGCCCAGCTAAAATACTTTCAGCTGTTTTTTGTTCAAGTAAATGCAATTCTAGCCATAGGCCCCCAAGGAAGCAGAAGCCCTCAAGATAACTTGGATCTAAGCTCTTAGCTTAGATCAGTTCTCAAGTAAATTATAAATCAACTGTACTCTAATTAGAAACAGCCAGTCCCATTGGATGCAGAGAGGCTGAGAGCCTTCTGAAACTCTAGATACAATGCACAAATACATTTTATTCTACACCCATTGCTTCAGGAATGATACAAGGCTTCCAACTCACACAAAGTTAATGAGAGCAGAAGCCATTATTCTTCATTCTTCCTCTGAAGTTAGCTGAGAAGTAAATACAGTTTCTGCACAGTACTGCATAGCTTAGAAATTTTTCAACAAAGGATCACATCCAAACTTACTGCTGATTGATAGCAATATTAGGAGACATTACTATCAAACCATTTAAAATCAGAATGTGACTTCTTTTACCTGAAGGTCACTGTCAAAATATTCGCAACATTTAAAAAGAAACAAACAAAAAAAATTCATTAATGGTAAATTTCATATCAAAGGACGCATTAAAAAAAAAAAAAGCTGATATTTCATGCAACAGCACTTTCTACTCACAACTAATGAGCCCACCAGGCTCCTCAAGTAATTCCAGCACATCCAGGGATACACATCTGCTGATGTCTAATACCAATTCAGGCACTGTTATCTCAGGAAACACAGAATCAAATCTCAAAACAATGAAAACATCTTAAAATGGGGAGCTACTGGGACAGGATTATATTGACTTAACTATCAAGTCTAGAGACCCAATCCTAGGTATAGGAAGTTCAGAAAAACAGACATAGTGTGAATGACCCTGTTCCCTCGCAAGAGAACTTACACAGATCTTAACTCAGGCTTAAGTCAGCAAGGAAGGCAAGCCTTCCTTCTCCTTTCCAAAAAAACAGTGTTAGGTCTGCCAGAGGCAGAGAAC